GGGATGAATCCTGTTTGGTTATGGTGTATAACTTTCTTGATGATTTGCTGCATTCTGTTTGCCAGTATCTTATTGAGGATTTTTGGGTCTGTGTTCATTAGGGAGATTGGCCTGTAGTTCTGTTTTTGGTTGGATCCTTCTCTGGTTTTGGAATCAAGATAATGCTTGCTTCCAGGAATGAATTTGAGAGTATTGCTTCCCTTTGAATTTCATTAAAGAGTTTGAGAACTGTTATATTTTATTTAGAACCTGAATATTAGTAAATTCCTGTTCTTTTCATCTTAGCTTTGTGTTTAAACGAATATAGTACAGGCTTGTATTGTTTTAATGAAGTGTTAGCAGAGTTTTTGGTTAACTATGATTTGTGCGTGTGTGTGTGTGTGTGTGTGTGTGTGTGTGTGTGTTAGCTGATGTGGATAGATACCTATGTTCTTTTTCTAATTTGGATTTAAATATGTAAACCTTTAGTGTTATATGTTGATTTTTTATTCCTAATTAATTCATCTACATGGTAACCCACATTTATTACTCCTCAACATTGACTAAGACTGTTGCATATCTAGTATTTGTTGACAGATTTGTAGTCATTTGAAAAATAGAACCTGTTATCTAAATATTTTTGATTAAATACATTTATCATATTGAGGTATAGGATTATAGAAAAACTTTAAAGTATTTATCTAAAAAGCACATGAAGCCTTATGTTTTCAACGTAGTTTAATTTTTTTGTTCATGCTCTTCATTACTTTTTTATGACTTAATAAAAAAAAAATAAGGAAATCATGGGCTGGGGAAGTAGCTCAGTGGTAGAATACCTACCAAGCATGGCCAAAGTCCTGAATCTGATCCCTAGAACTAAAAAAACAGTTGGGCATGGAGGTACGTGTTGGTAATCCCAGCTACACAGAGGCTGAGACAGGGTCTCATTGCTTGGGCCTTGGAGTTGAGAGCTAACCTGGGAGACAGAATGAGACCCAGCATATAGAAATGGATTATAGGTTGTGGAATTGCAGAAGTTAATTTTTCTATATAAATGCATAGAAAACACTTGAACAAAGATATTTATGAAGGAAGAATCACAGAAATGGTAGCTTTTAAAAAATTAAATAAAACCTCAAATGTTTAACATGAAAAGTTCTGTTCTTTTTGAACCATAACTTCTCACTTATTGATATATTCTGAAATTTTTAACTTGATTAAAAAATTCCAAGATAGGAAAGAGATAGTTTTAAAATAAAAGTATGTTGCTATGTAAATTTTCTGTTCTTTTTTTTTTTTTTTTTTAATGATGGTGCTAAAGCTGTGTACACCCCAAGATATATCCCAAAGGGTAAGTGTACAACTGATCTTTTAGGATACTATCAAATGGAATAATGTATGTAGTACTAACTTAGGTATTGAGTTTATTGCAATTGGTTTTTTTTTGGTACCAGGGATTAAACTTGGGATCTTACACTTTCGAGGCAGGTGGTAGAACCACTGAGCTAAATCCCCAACCCATGTAAATTTTAAAAGTATATGTTTCAAGCAACAGGATTTCTGAAATATAATACTATCCCTTTTGTCAACATGAATCTGGCTTTTGTCACTAAGACCTTGTCTCTGATAAATAGTTCAATTGGTGTACTTATTTTTAGGTTACACTGTATTGTTTTTAAAAGACTCTAGTAGTCAGTGTCATAGATTTATCATTTTTATCCTTTTCCATTGGTGTTCTACCTTAGCTGTAATGTTTTTCCTTTTCCATAATGACCTCGGGAGCTAAAGTTAGCATCACATTGACTTTTCCTGTTTAAACCCAGTGTGCTTTTAAAAGGAATATTTTCATGTTCACCGTGGTAGTGTATAATATCTGATGAGCCATATTTCTGTTGGTGTATTGATTAATTTGATTTTATGGTGATGGGATCATTGTGTGGTAACTGCATTAAAGAGGAATGGATTTGATTGACTTTGTGTCCATTTTTATGTGTGCTGCGTTCATGTTTTATTTAAAAGCATTTCTTGACTAGGATAAGTTAAGTGGTTTCATTTGCCTTTTATACACATATATAATTGAAGTTGGCAATGTGGCAAAAACAGTAATCAAAATAAAATACTTCCGAATGATGACATAAACCTGAGCTGTTTCTTTTCAAGTGTTATTTATAATAATTTAATGGCTTCTGAGGTGTTTTATAATAAAGTCCTTTGCTTTTATTAATTTTGTGAAGTTGTTAATACATAATTAGAGGTTTACCCTGCTTAGGTTAGTGGCGAGTGAAGATTATATTATCTTGGGAAAATTATATTGGGATATTTCTGTATTAATAGTTTGATTAATGGTTTAATGCTTTAGGCAAGGTTATGATTCTGTTGAGAGGATCCTTCTATAAGTATCTATGTTTATCAGTTTCATGAAAAGAAGAATCAGAATATTTTATAGTATGAAGTTTTGCTATGGACCAAGATGTGTGTGATTTTTTTGCTGGATGGCTTCTGTCTTCATTTTTTCCATCAAATAAAGAAGCACTGCTATATTTTGGCATATTTGTACACACGTATAACCTATTTTAATCATTCCTCTCTCATTATTTCTCCTTTCTCCTTCCACACGTTCTTCATCCTTTCCTCCGCCCTAATAGTCACCTGTCTATCTTCATGTCATATTTCCTTCACTCCCTTCCCCTTCACTTCCTTGTGCTCCTCTCTTCTTTCCCTTAGTTTTCTCACATGAGAGAAGATACGTAACATTTGACTCTCTCAGTCTGGCTCTTTTCACTTAACGCAGTGGTCGCCAGTTTCATCTATTTTTTTTTTTAACAAATGACAAGATTTAATTCTTCTCAGTGGCTGAATAATATTCCATTGTGTATCTATACCCCATTTTCTTTATTCATTCACCTCTTGGTGGGCATCCAGGCTGTTTCTATAGTTTAGCTATTGTGAATTGTGCTGCAGTAAACATGGGTTTGCAGATGTCTCCAGTGTGCTGAATTTAATTCTTTAGGGCATATTCTGAGGAGTGGTATAGCTGGATCAAATAGTAGCTCTCTTCTCTATTTTTAGTTTTTTGAGGACTTTCTATTTTGATTTCCATAATGGCTGTACTGTTTTACATTCTCACCAACAGTGTAGAAGGGTACCTTTTCCCCTCCATCCTCACTAGTCCTTAATTGCTTTTTGTATTTTTTTTTCCTTCAGGCAGGATCTTGCTATGTGGTTCAGGCTGTCCTTGAACTCACTATGTAGCACAGGCTGGCCTTGAACTTGCAGCAGTCCTCCTGCCTCAACTTCCCAAGTGCTGGGATTACAGGTGTGTGCCACCACACTAGATCTTTTTTTTGTATTCTTGATAATAGCCATTTTTTTTGGTGGGGTGCCGGGGTTCAAACTTGGGACCTTGTGCTTGCAAGGCAGGTGGCAGAAACACTGAGCTAAATCACCGGCCCTTATGATAGCCATTTTTGATTGGGGTGAGATGGAATCTGAATGTAGTTTTGATTTGCATCTCTCTGGTGACTAGAGTTTGAACATTTTCCCCATATTTTTATTGGCCATTTGTATATCTTTTGAACAGTGTCTCTTCAGTTTCCTCATTTATTGATTGACCCTATTTTTAGTATTGTTTTTTGAATATTTTATATATTCTGGATGTTAATTCTCTGTTGGAAGAGTGGGTAGTAAAGATTTCCTTTCATTCAGTAGGCTGTTCTCTCTGTTGATTGTTCCTTTGCTATGGAGAAGATTCTTTAAATTTGATGTTGTCTCATTTGTTGATTCTTTTTTTTTTTTGCTTTTTGTTTTTTGGTACCGGGGATCGAACTCGGGTCCTTGCGCTTTCAAGACAGGCAGTGTAACCACTGAGCTAAATTCCCCGCCCTCATTTGTTGATTCTTGCTGTTATTTCCTGTTCTGTTGGAATCTTACTAAGGAAGTCTTTGTGCCTATGACTTCAGTTGTTTCTCCTCTTTTCTTCTAGGAGTTTAAAAGTTTCACATCATATACCTAGGTCTTTGATTAATTTAGAGTTGATTTTGTACAGGGAGAGAATTAAGGATCTAGTTTCAGTTTTCTACACATGGATATCCAGTTTTCCCAGCACCATTTGTTGAAGAGGTTGTCTTTCCTTCGGTGTACAGTTTGACGTCACTGTGTAGGAAAAGTGGCTCTAGTTGTATGTGTTTGTTTTTGTGTCCACCATTCTATTTCTTAGAAAGTATTTTGAATTGAGTGAAAATAGAATATATTGAAATTCATGAAGTTCAAATATGGTATATGGAGCAAAACTTATCATTCCCAGTGCTCATTGTAGGAAAGGAAAATGGTCTTGATAGCTGAATGTCGTGATCCAGTATTGTAACAGATTTTTTTTCTTGGACGTTAGGTAAATAAAAACGTTTTAAAGAAATGGTTGTTCTGTACAGAAACAATGGGCAAATTCTATGAAATGTAACTTTTATTTAAATATACCTATAAAATTAAGGCAAATAAATGAAAGAAAGAAATTCTATTGGACATCAAACCTACCTCTCCTAGCATTGTTCTACCTTTATAACTTGGGTAATACAGTATTTTCAAAGAACTCCTTTTGGTTATCTGTAAACTAAGTGATAAATCTCACAATTCTTATACTTTATTCCATTTGAGTTTAACTTAAGTTATATTTTCTCCTGTGTTCATGTTCTAGTTCAGTAATGGGGAAAAATTTGTGATTTTTCCAGTATATTACACAGTAAAACTCTCCTTGAATAAAGTAATATTTGATTACATTTGATTTTCCCCCCTTAACATGTAATTGAATAAGTAATTGTATCACTTACAGCCAAGTCAACAGACTATTTTTAGAATTTAGATGATTTTCTGTTAAGGGTGTATATTTTCTCACTGCTCAAGTGAAATGCTCACCTTACATCAATAAGAATACTCTTCCAGTATAGTGGAAGCTTGTTCTTTGGTCAGAGGCATTACAGTATATCCGTGTACAGTCTTTAGCTCCTGTCTTTAATCTTTTTCTGCAGGTGATTGTGAGCGAAGACTCTGACGGTGATGGCATCATGGCTCATTTCCCTGCCCATGAGAAGCCAGTGTGCTGCATGGCTTTTAATACAAGTGGTAAGTGTTCTTTTGCTTTGCCGTTTATTTTAGGGGCTTCTAGCAATGTATTTTGACCAAAATAGGAAGTGTGGAATCTGACTTTTCTTCATGTGACTGTGTATGTCAGAGATGTTGGTCATGCTCAGCAAATGCTATTGAATGAATGAATTCATAATATACTTCAGCACCCCTCTGCTTCACCCTCAATAGTGTGGTAGTTGAATAGCAGCAGTAGGTATACAGTGCTGTTAAGTTGGATTAATTTTTGGATTATAATTATGCCAAGAACTTTTTGATGTTCCAAACTAGAATATTAATATATATTAATGGCGTTTTCTTTGAACTTGAAGGTCTTCTATAACTTAGAACATTTTCTGTGCTAATTTACTTTTATTTTTCCCTGTCTTTTGATGTTAGTTTTTCTGGTTGTTCTTTTTTTTTTTTGGTACTGGGGAATGAACTCAGGACCCTGAGCTTGAGACAGGCGCAGCACCACTGAGCTAAATCCTCATCCCCTTTCTGGCTGTTCTTAAGGTATTTGAGAAGGACTAATGTTCCAGCAATGTGGAATGTCATATTTTCACTAACCTTTTTATTATGTAAAGTTTCAAACACTAAATTAAGCCTAAAGAGGTAGTGTACTAGTCATCCATGTATTGCCACACCACCTAAACATGTGTTCACATTTATATTTGTCTCAAATATAAATGTTTGCCTGAAACATTTGAATATTTTATATACATTTAACATTTCATCCAGTTCTAATTAACCATGTATTTCCTTAGAGTATGACTCCCCCTATATAACCAAATATTATCTTATAGGCCAGAAAATCAGCACTTTATATATTCCAGTATCCATCCCATAATTTAAAATTTTTCAAAAATGTGTTCTGTACTTCAAACCAAAGTGTAATCAAGGTTCGCTCTTTACATTATATATATATCTTTAAATTCCATTTAGTATAACATATAACTTTTACCTTTCTATTTTCTTTTTGTAATGTCCTGAATAATTGTCTTATCAAGTTCTGTATTTTTAAGATTTTTTTCATATATAATGATTTCTGTAATTCCTATATTCCCCTGGATTTTCATTAATTGTAAGTTAGATCTAGAAATGCTGAAAACCATTCAGACTAAGGAGGGTTTTTTTTAATTTTTAAATTTCATAGTTATTGCTGTGTCCAATATTTATCTCAATAGGAGACACATTGTATCAGGTTTTATCCCTTGTGAAACTATGTTTGGTCATATGGATAAGGTAGAGAATGTCAAATATCTAAATATGTGAGAGGGGAATTTATTGTGTAGATTAGCAAGCATTTTGTGGAATATTATTTTGACCTCAGTTTTGAAATTTTTTAACTTAATTGAATGTTGCAGAAAGATAATTTTTCTAGTTCTGTTATGTTACCTACATTTATTAAATCTAATCTATAAAGAAAGAATTCTCTTAACCAGGAATGAACTACAGCTCTATACACTACAATAGATAGGATAAATCCCTAATGCTTTTTCATTATTTACCAATTTTCTTAGTAAGCAGTGTAGGTATAATACTTCCAGTGGTGGAAAATGAATTATTTTTTAAATAATTTATTTCTATCTGAAAGATAAAACTGATAGTCTTTATAAATTTATAGTCTTCAGATTTTATCCATTTAGTTGATGTTTCTAAGGAGCCTGCCATTTTTAGCTTGTTATTCAGAAATGATTGTATTACTTAAAACTGATGGAAAGACCTATCTTTTCCCCTTTTTGTTCATTTTTTAAAATAAAGAATGATGGCAAGAGAATAATATAGAGAACTTAGAACAATTTCCCTTCTAATAGGTTAATCATTTTTGTTGAAGGGAGAAAGATTTTTCTAGTGATCTATATGATTGAGTGAATAAATAAATACAGATTTATTGAAACTCCTTGAATGTTGTAGGAATTAAGTTAAATTTGAAGAACTTTTCTTAAAGTTATATCACTTGCAGCATGTTACTTGGCATAACTAGTATGGCTCATTTTTATATCCCACTATTACATCAAATCTTTACAGCGTATATTTCGTTGAGCTGCAGTTAGTGTGCTTCTGATGTTGGAAACTACATATTAAATAATATAAAGATTGTCATAGTCATCTCTATCATTGTCAGCAGTTTTCTTTTAAAAATGGTTTCATTTTTTATCTGCATTTTGCTGTTTGATGTATTTGACCTTCTACACTTGTGTTTATTTGATAAGATTTAAAATATCAATATTGATATGTTTTTCTGTTTATAAGCATGATGTAATTTGGTTTGTGACAATCATTTGTTTAAATGCTTCTTTCCGTCGCGAACCTGTGTTCCTCCCAGTTAAGCATCAGATATTATTTATCTTTGATTTTTTTTCTGCACTGCCTGTAATCTGTTTTGGGGTTTTTTTTTAAACATAAAACAATAAACACCTTTATTACATGAGCTACACCAGGAGAAAGGACTTATATTTGCCTTTCCAGGCCTTGATTTTCCTCAGATAGAACTCCAGCTCCTTGCCCTCTAGCACATAGCCATCGGCTTGGCCACACTGGCCCGGTCTTGATTGCAACGCAGGCAAGAAGCTTGCCCTGTTGGAACTGCTCCTCCAGAGGTCTGCTGATTTTGGCATTCTTTTTCCTTTCATCATACTTCTTTTGAATTTTCTTTGATGGTTTCTTGTTTAAAAATCTCTTCCTCCTCAGGAGTCGGCTTGGCACCCTTTTTGCGGCCCAGGGGCAGTGCATAGTGGGATTTGTACCACTGCCAGTATGGCGTGCTGTCAATGAGTACAGTGCAGTTCTTCACCAGGGTCTTGGTGTGGACCAGCTCATTACTGGATGCGTTGTAGACAACATCGATGATCCTTGTTTTTCAAGTACAACTCTCAGAGCCCCAGGAGAAGTTCCCCACATCCAGTCTCAGGGCACGGTACTTCTTGTTGCCTGCTTGCACTTGGACCGTGTGTACGCGGTGGAGGCCAATCTTAGTGTTGGCAGCAGGACGACACAACTCATACTTCCACTTCTTGTGGTAGGGCTTTCTTTTGTCCTCAGTCTTGTGGCGCTTGTGCCAGTTGTGCCAGTTGTGCCAGTTTTCCCGAGAGATGCCCATTGCAGAGACCTGTAATCTGTTTGTTAGATTCTCAACTTATTATTAATTGGTACTTTGTACAAAGGTATATAAGTTAAGCGGGCCTTAATGCAGTAGATGAGTTTTTATTTAAATTTTCCTTTTTTGAAGTGTAACTTAGAGATCCTCAAATAACATACTTCAGTTTTTCTTTACCCATACATGCGCCTGCACACATTCCTGAGTTTATTTATATCAAGAAGTTTTAACTGTGTTAATCCTCGAATAATTCTCTACTCTTTGTAAATGACATCTTTGTGCTGCATATAATATGGCTGATAATAACAATAGTGTTTGTTAGAATACATTTTACAAGTTTAGGGAACTTCATTTAAAAGAAACAGAAAGCATATAAAGATGGATTGTGTGTTTTTGTTTTTGTTTTTCTGTTTTTTTTTTTTTTTTGAGACAGGGTCTCCCTTTGTAGTTCAGGGTGGCTTTGAGCTCACTATGTAGCCCAGGCTGACCTCAAACTCATGGCAATCCTCCTACCTCAACCTGAGTGCTGAGATTATAGGTATGCGCCACCACACCCAGCCTTGTGTGTTTTTGTTTTTAAAGCTGGTCTTCCATAAGCCCATTTACCTGTATATATTACGATTATACTAAAGAATGTAGTGCACATAAATTTATTTCACTGTTTTTATTTTAAAAAAAGATGTATTTTTAGATGACAGTATTATAAAAATGTCATGGACAACAAAATTCAAGAATAAATAAGACTTGTGGCTACCTCCTTGAAAATGTTAAAAAAAAAAACCCCAAACAACAAAACAAAACATAGAGCCAGTAAATGTACACAATGGAGTAACACTGCAAAGTGGAGTAAGAAGAAAATGACTTCTCCTTACTTGACTGGGCGCATGAAGTTCTATCCTATGTGGGACCTATTCAGAAAAGAAATTAAGGGATGCCAGTAAATAGAGTTGTGAAACTTAGACTTCAGCAGCTGCATTCAGTTTGTTTTTCAAATTCTCATTCTTGTTTATTAGCTGTGACTCACAGTCCAGAATTAAAACAAATATTTTAATTATAGTATTTATGATTGTTTAAAGTGCCAGATTAGTCTTCTTCAGTTTTGGTAGGTTCAGTATGGGTGGTGAAAATCTGTTGCTTTTAGTTATTTAGAGTCAAAAATGGGTAATATTTCTTCAGAACTTTTTGAGGGGTTGAATTAATAAATTTTATTTTTTTACAGCAGTTTAGAGGCTACAGCTAAATTGATAAAAAAAAAAGCACAGAGTTCCCAAATAGCTACTTTCCCTTCACATGCCCAGTTTCTTTCACCATTGACTTCCTGTGCCGCAGGGGAACATTTGTTAACACAGTGGATGAACCTCCATCACTGTCCTTCTCACCCATCACCCGCCATGTACACCAGGGTCCTCTCATGCATTGTACATTTTATACTTCTTGACAGGATCTGCTATTGTTCTATCATACATAGTATTCATGGCCTTACATGGTTTTTATATTAAATAAAATTTGGGATTTTCCCCTCCTTTTCTCCTTTCTTCTTTTCTACCCTTCCTTTCTTCCTCTCTTCTTCTCTTCAGTGGGGATTGAATCCAGGGCCTTCACATTTTCATGTTGAATTATCTCCCTAACTCTTTTTTATTCACTTTTTATTTTCAGGCAGGGTCTGTCACGAAGTCACTAAATTGCCCAGGTTGACTTGTACTTTTGAGTCCAACCCCAGAGTGCCAGGGTTACAGATGTGAGCCAGCATGCCCATCATAGCCGTTATTTCTTTTTTTCTTTTTGGCAGTACCAGGGATTGAACTTAGGACCTTGAGCTTGCGAGGCTGGCGTGGTGCCACTGAGCTAAATCTCTGGCCCTTATAGCCATTATTTCTTAAAACATTATTTTTTCTCCTTT